TTTAAAATAAATTGTTTATCCAAAAAGCGTTTGGTTCCATACTTTTTATTCACCTGGTATATTATTTTGTTCGTCTCACTGAAACAAATCAAATGCACTTAAAAAAAATTCAAAAAGTCCACACACTTTGAACTAAATATTTTTTTTCTAATTTAAATGAATTTAAAATACTTTAACTTTAAAAAATCATTACTCAATAACTATTAGTCAGATTTCTTTCAAATAAAGACTATTCTAAAGGGATGGACTTTTCTTTTCTTCGAACAGAGTTCGAAAAGTTCGAAGTTAACCCTAAGAGTATTTTTTTCTTTATCACCATCGTGTAGAGCATCTTTTTATTAGTTAGAATCTAAATTTTTAAAATAATATACGGAGTAGTTTTCAAGATATGATTTCTTGAAGTTAAAGTTTGCTAATCAATCATTGCGCCATATACGAGAAATGCATGTTAATCTTACTTAAAATTGCATTTTTATAAAAGTATTTGTTTTAAGACTCTTCTTTTGCTTAAATGCAATTTTAAGTAAGATTAACATTAACGCAATGCTTGATAAGTAAACCTTAACTTCAAAAAATATATCTTAAAAACTACTCAGTATATTATTTTAAAAATTTGGATTCTAACTAATAAAAAGGTGTTCTACACGATGGTGATGATGATGAAAAAAAATACTCGTAGGGTTTTTCTTAGATTATTTCGATTTACTTCGAAGTTTGCCAATATTCAGTTTCAAATTCTATATCATTCTAAAGGGCAAGTTCATCCCTAAACGGCCTAGTAGTTATAGAGTAATAATTTTTTACAATTAAAGTATTTAAAATTTATTTAAATTAGAAAAAAATATAGTTCAAAGTGTGTGGACTTTTCGAATTTTTTTGATTTGTCTTACTGAGACGAACAAAATGATATATAATTTGTCAAGTTGTCGCCCTGTATTATCACTGTTCAATGTCACAACTAAATATAAACTTGAGTCAGTAAAAACTGGTCAATCTGTAGAATTCAACTTGGCATCTTCTTCGTTACCTTGAAAGCAAGTTTATTATCTATTTGATACAAAGTTCTACAGCTGCTAGAGAAAATCGAGTTCTGCAATTTGTTGCAATCTTGCTTCGTTACTTTCCATGCGTAATAATTTCGTTAAGTAGCTTCAATTGCTAATTCAATTATTAAAGTAATTACGTTTGATTAATGTGAATTCAGAAGTGCGGAAGCAATTTAATTGTAAATGAAAAAATCTTGAGATACTCCTACAAATGTGTGTTTTTGCAAATTCATTGAAAAATATTCAAGGCTGAGGTCTTGTTAAATAATTTAAACAAAAACTTCCATAATGAGACCTTGACAACAAGGAATCTTTTTTCGCATTCGTCAAGATGGTCTTCTTCAGTAAAATAGTTGCCTGTTCTTCTGCACCATACTCAATGTGTCAACAGGTGTGGTCTGTTGTTATTTTTGATTGCAAAGAGGCGTAGCAACTTCTAAATATAGATTGGTGCGAATTCGAAGAGTAATACTTGGAAACACAATTCCCTACTTAACAGGCGACTGCACGTTTTAAGTGTGGGATTAATTCTAATCCATTCTTACTCACGATTTTTAATGAAGTGACCCAATTAACGATCATTCAAAAGGATCAGATTAATAACAATAATAATTTCTGTTTTCTGTATTCATTTCATTATTATATTTTCTCGACAAATTACTGAGAAAGACTTATTTCTCGAAATAAATTAAAATACTTAATAAAAAAGAATAAACATATTATAGTTGAAGTCATTAAATAGATTTTTCTTTTAAAAAATATACTGTCAAATTTAAAAGTTAAATTCTTGCAAAAAAATGTATTTAGTTTCTATTTTTACGAAACCGAATTCGAAATTTGTGTGGTAATAGGGGCAAAAAAATCTAGAAATGTGTTTTTAGAAAAAAATGTAAAACAAAAATATAATTAGTTTTATTTTTGTTTAAGCTTAAATTCAAAGTTGTTAAAGAAAAACTGTTACAACATTATAAATTGCCATTATGTCCATTTTTTTTTCATTTTCAGTGACCCCTTAATTTTTAACTTAATTAACTTATGGTATTTTAATTTTAAACTACCATAATAAATACATACCAGGTGAATAAAAAGTATTTGCTAAAATTATTTA